TCTACTCACTCTCTTTTCTCTCACTTCACCCAAAACCAACCCCCAAAATCTAAATCGATTTCTGCCCAAAATTCGACTCTCTTCTTCAAAATCGATTTCTGTCAAAAGCCGCTTCAAATAGTTGTGTAATGTGGTAAGTTTTCTTCGTTCAAGTAACAAATCTTTGGAATCTAGTGTATTTAAACTCAAATTGAATGTAGGGTTTTGGATAAAATTTTTGTTTATTGAAGTTATGAGCTTTTGAAATCTGCAATTTGATGTGTTTTTATTGGGTTTTCATGTTGTAAAGAATAGAAATTTTAGTGGTAGGTTATACATCCTACTTTATTTATGTTGGAAAAATCATGCTCACACCTCTGGAAAGATTGATGGATATATTTTCCCCACGAATTTTGTAGATAAGATTATACATTGGAGGAATTATTATCATAAATCGATAACCTATAAACTTATATATAAATCTTGAGAGGTGTGAAATTTTGCAAGATTAGATCTCCTTTTGTTTTGTTCTGTGCATTTCTAACCATGTTCTAGTTATCGTTTGTTTCTGTATAAGGAACATGAATTTAAGTTCAACATTTGAAAAATTAAAGAGCAGTGCCTATTTGGGATCAAATACGTTACTACTTGTTTTAAGTTTTATTGGGTTTTCTAGTTGTAAGAGCATAATCATTGTTAGAAAGCCTACGAGGACGACAAGCTGACAACAATAGCACAATTTCCCTAAATTTTGATCAACTAGATGACCAAATTGTGAATGAGAATATCACAACTCCTACTCTCGGTAATGGAAATTTAATTTCTTCTTCAAGTTTTGTTGGAGCCAGCTCACAGGTGAAAAATGAGTCGTTACTTGTCCACATTAGAGGTTAGAAGTAATTTCATATTAGAGTTGATTGTTGCTTTGTATTCTTTATTATTAGTTTGTTGTTATCATTACTTTTCATTTCTGTTAATGGCTTGTTAAAATGATAGATACTTCAACCGGAGAAGTTACTACTCAAAAGATGCAATCAAATCGAGTTTGAAACTTTGAAAAAAATTAAAAAATCATGGTGGAACTAAATGGTGATGGAAAAGGAAGTGACAATGGTTCAAATTTGCTTGTGAGATTTCTTGGCAAACTTTCTCAAATGTTTGTATTTTGTCACATATTAGTTGAGTGATGGGATAGGATGCCACATGAAAAAACAAAACGACAATGGCAACTTATTGAGGTAACTAGCTAACTTTATTGCCATTCAAATAATGTTATCTTTTTCAATAGGTACTGATTTATGAATACAAACATATATGAAGGAGAATTTTGAGTTTGATTATGAGATTGGATTTAAATGGGTGATGCAATCTTTACGCGAGAGGTGGAGGGCCCTTAAATATAAGTTACGATGTAATAACTTCTACCCCAACAAAAGTAAAGAAGAGCTACTTGCTAAGCCTCCCGAAAATGTGGATTCTATTGATTGGATTGCCTTTGTGCATCACTGTAATAAGGATAAGATGAAGGTAATTGTTGTTCATAATTTGATTCTTTCTTTCTCTTATTTTTTGGGTAAATAATTTTTATTAATAACCAAAATGGACTTTACAACTCAAGGTAAAAATAAAAAACAGAAGAACTAGGTTCGATATTCATTCGAAATCTCTAGGCTTGCATATGTAGACTCTTAGAAAAAAAAACAATTTCAACACAGTTTACGTTGGGTATACATTCAGTTCTCTTAGTTTTCTAGCCGACTAAGGTCTCAAATTGGCTCTCAAATAAACTTTTTGAAGGATCATTTTGATCAGGACTTCATCTATTCTTCTTGGCTTCGGAATATCCTCAGTTAAACATCTGCCACAAGTGTTAAATTATCCTTGTAAGTGTCATTCTGTAAATAGCATCCCATGAAACATTTTCTTTGCATTAGTTTTCAACCCATCGTAATTCACCCTGCTACTCCATTGGACTCTTGCTACATAACAACTTTACTTCAGAAAAGTATGGAAAGGAAGAAATATGAAACTTTCTAACTCCTAAGTTCTGTACATACACAATATAACTCATTTTGTACATTTAAATATGCCTTCAACTATAAATACAATAAGAATTAGAAGTTATAACTTATATGCTAAATTTGTAGAGACAAAAAGGGCTGAAAATTACTAGTTACTTATAAGAAACTTATGTGATGTCAATGAATGCTTCAAATATGTTGGTAAGTTCTTGTTTCAGCTTTGCAATGTCTGTTTTTGCTCTCTCCCTTCAACATCATTAGAGCTTAAACTCTTTTCTCGCTCCGATATCTTCCTTTTAAATTTTATATTGCATCCTTTGTGTGGAAGTAGATACTCCTTTTAAGATGCCAACAATTATGAAATAGGATATAGTTGTATGATTGTTGAGTAATCTAAATGAACATGTTATAAAGACCATTGTGAGTCTGAAAATTTAAGATTGATTTTTGTTTGCTTTCATTAAGTAATATTGTTGGTGTTGGCTGTGATAAAACGATTTATATAGCTTTAAGAACTTGTGTCCTACATCTTGTGAAATTGTGCCCTTCTATTACATGTAATTAAATTTATGTTTGATAATTACAGAAATAAAGTGCACAAAATGTAAAAAATAGAAAGAAACTTAAAGTCTCGCATGCCGGTGGTAGCAAAAGCAATGCAAGGAGAGGTCGTCAAATGGTATGTTTCTTAACCTTGAATTCTATTTGGAAATCATTTTATTGTATCAAGTGAAATGTGTTTCATGTTTATTTTTTATTTATATATACTTGATTAATGACAGGAGTAAAAATTGAAAAGACTTGTGTGTCGGAGTGAGGTTATTTTGTCAATTTTACTGAAGAAGGATGGTAATTATGTGAATGAGATTTTAGCTGTAAGATTTATATACCTGTCCATTTTCAAATTTCAATTATGGTGTTGATTTATTCTTGTCTTTTTTCTTTGGTCTATAGCCTATCATAAGACTCAACTAGCTACCAAAGAATAAAAATAAAAAATAACTAATGTAGCAGCTGCCTTTGTGCTACAAATGTGTCTGCCTAGGATGCTCTTCATCTTTCCTCGTCAAATAACTTTGAAATTGTGATAATTTGTATTGGGTTCTCTCATTACACATTAGAAAGTGGTTTTTGTTTAAGTTTTAGTCAAAATAGTTGATGTCTTGTAGTAATACTTTTGTTAATATTTTTTTTGTACAAATTATGTTAACTTTTGTTAGTAGTAGTGCTTTGGGGTGTGTTCTATTTGCCTATAGTATTGTGAAAATATCTTTTCTTGTAGGATAAGATATCGGAGCAACTACCTAAAGATCAGGAACTTGCTGCCAGTTCAGGTGTTCCTATGAAGATACTAGCTCATTCTAATGATGCCGTTGGAAAAGTGTATGGAGTTGAGCATTCTGATCGAGTGCATGGTTTAGGTGGTAATGTTTGCCCTTCAAATGCTTTTGGAATGCCTCGCATTCAATTAGTCATGTGAATCTTGGTAGCTCTAGTAGTATGTCTCATCAACGTGTTAGAGACCTAGAGAAACATGTAGAAACCTTGAAAGAAAAGGTATATAAAGAGACAAAAAAACAGCTTGAGGCGACCAAATAAACGCTCGAGGAAACTAAGAATCGACTTGTGCAAAATGAGGATCAGTTGGCAACTCTTCATAAGCTTTTACAAGCTAAGTTTGGTAGTGAGTTGCCTACTTTCAACTAATCTTCTTAGCCTTTAGTATATGTTAAGACAAACTATATATATGGTGTTTCATTTAACTTTTAGTATTTCCATTACTCTAGTATTTGTGGTATTTTGTATGAATATTCAAGGTTTGAAGCTCTTATCTTTTGTGACTATATGTAGAACAATGTTGGAACTTTGATCATTATTATAATAGCTAGTTTTGTGTGTATACTGGTTCAGTAAATCTTTTGGAAATCATTTTATTGTATCAAGTGATAATTATGTGATCACTGTGCATGCCTATCTATTAGTGTATTGATATTGGGATATATAGCAGGGAAATTATTGTTTTTTTAAAAAAAAAACTCACTTTTGCCACGGTTGAACCGTAGCTAGTTCATATTTTGTATTAAAGTTATGAGCAAATTACCAACGCCTAAATTAGCCACGGTTAATATATGGATAAGTCATGATTTGTTGTAGGCAAATTTACCCATGGGTAGACCGTGGCTAAACACAATCTAAACCGTGGCTAGAAGAAAGTTACCACGGACGCTAAAACCGTGGCAAAATTCATGGCGACGCCCCTGTTGGGCACGCAGCTGACCGTGGCTAAGTGGCCGTGGCCAATATGTGATAGCCACGGTTTGGCTACCATTTAGCCACGGTTTCACGCGTGGCTAAAAGGCGAATTTTTTGTAGTGAATGAATTTGGATATGAATTAAAGTCACTAGAATTCCCTAGCAAAAAGTTGAGTTGAAAGTTTCCATACCAATTAAGTTTTGATGTAAGATTCTATTTGAGTCAACTTCAAACGATTATTTTTCTTAGAATTTAAAGAGTTACATGACCCATAACCTATCAAATTAAAGGTATTTGAATCTTCTTTCCAACGCCACCAATTTTGCAACAATTCAAGTTTCTAGTAAAAAGTTATAATCATTTTAGTAACCTACATGTGTTGCCCAACATCTCTAATGACCGAAATAAATTTCTACGAGATCCAAATCATCATGCAACACGAAAATACACCATTGAAGGCACTTGAAGCTCAGAGAAATTTAGGAGAGAAGAATCAAGAAAACAATAGAATTATACTCATAAGATTCATGAATAAAAGTTACTTTTAAAATTTATTTTCATTGCAATTAATTTGAAGCAAACAATTACATCAAGAGATGTCCATATTCTAAAAAGCAAATGCAGTATTATTTTAGTTTGTGAGTTGAAGTAGAAATGTATGCGTACAAGTTGGAGGAGGAAGCTATAGAGAGATAGTCTTATTCCCAAAAAAAATAATAATAGTGCACACCAATTTTATGGTGGATTTAGCCTGAAAATTCGAAAAAAGATTTTAGGCCATGAGGTTTAGTGACATGCGGATCGCCATGCCATAACAGTTTAGCAGACTGTTGGTAGGTGGATTGTGAGGGATGCGAAGCATCGAAAAATACATAATCTTTGGGATTTTTGCAAAGTTGGTACTCTTTAACTTGCCTCTTTCCTCCACAACTGTTAATTCCTCGAAAGGGTCCTGTACCACAACATGCCTTCTTTGATACTTCAAACCCTACACAACACATGAAAATCCATGGATAGAGTCATTACATCAAAAATGATTTTTAGCGGCAATTAATCAACATCAATAGCTTAATTGCCACTACCTATGTATTTTTAGCGGTAATTAGCACCCTTTGTATATGTCCCTAAAGCCTCTAGCAACACTGGATCTAATGACACTTAACTAATGCTGATAAAGACGTTAGCACTCTTCTATTTATTGCCGCTAAAAGTTGTTTTTGTTGTAGTGAGTATCAAACACTTCAAGCCAAGTAAAAATAAAACTTACCAAATTTCAAAGGATGGTTGATTCTTTGATCAATTACTTCATATAGATCAAACAATGTATACTTAAATCCTGCTAATTCATCTTGTAATTTCTTCATCGTTTTCGGAAGAGCCAAACTATGCATTTTCAGTATCTCATTTAGTTCATTTATGCATTCACCACTCTTGTTTTGTTGAAAGGTAAAAGCCCTAGCACCTGGAAAACAACCTAAGGGAATCAAAGTAAATATGGCAAATTTTCTTCCTCCTTTTTTGTAAATTTCCTGTTACAATACATAATATTAGTCACAATAATTAATTATATAGAAGGGAAATATATCCGAACTTTGACCGAAATTGTTGTAACAATACCGAACTTTAGAAAAATTTTTTTACCCCTGCACTATTTAATAGTGTATTTTAAAGGTATATATGTGCCCACGTGGACACGTTACTATTTATAATAATGCAATATTTATGATGTCCACGTGGACACATATATACCTTTAAAATACACTATTGTATAGTGCAGGGTAAAAGGTCCTCCATAAAGTTTGGTATCGTAACAACAATTTCGGCCAAAGTTGAAGTATTTTTCGGACCCTTTTCCCTTTTTAGAAAGATATTTACATTCAAATGCTATTTATATATATACCTTCAAAACGGATGTGAAATTTGATAATACCATTTCTACAAATTGTTGTTTAGGATATGGAAAGTGAATTAAATCAGGGCTACTTCGAAAAGCTTCACCATAGTCAACTGTTCCAGTACTAAACATGTAAACAGCATTTGAGATGAGTTTTTTGGACTGCTTGTCTCCCACTTTATTATTTAACAATTTTGTCACCTTCTTGAAATATTTCAATTGTGTTTTAAGGTTTATTACCTGCAAACTTAAGAATAATGTTTTTAGTGTGCCTGCTACATGAATATTCACAAATATTTATTTTTTGTTATATAAGTACTAATTAGTTTCACATAGCTTCATAATATTGGACTATTACAAACTTAAATGATGTTACATGGATATTGACATATGAGGCTCCTCTTCATTATTCAATCTCTTAATTTCCCTAACTCCTGGATGGAAGTCACATGTATTTCATAATTAAAAATTACAGGTTAAGATTTGTTCTAATTGTTCCCACTAAGCATTAGATGACTATTTTTCTAGGATTCAGTCCTAGCAAATGCGATGCAGTGAAAAACATTGCGGACTATATATGTGGTCGTAAGATATCCAAACAGTTAGCCAACTTTACTTTATATCTAACAAGGTTAAGGCGTGATCTAGAAAACGAAAATAGCGAGATCTGAAGTCCCATCAAATAAAAAGTTTAAAGATGAAGACTCGGTTCGACACGAAATCATGTTTGATGTGAATGTAAGGAAGAACTGAGGAAAATAATTTCGTAAATGTACAAAAAGAAAATATTTGTTCAAAATAAGAAGAGTTGGTAATAAATAGAAAAAGTGAACTTTATTGTTCTGCTAAAACTTTTTATTTAGGAGTCATAACTAAGCTTTCTTTATTGTTTGTTATATGTGAAAGTTGCTCTATTTTATAATATAAATTTGGCCCAAAATAAAAAAGTAATGAAAATGGTCATTGCACCGAAATAAGATGCAATGACCATTAAATATTTTGATTAAATATTTTTCTTTGACTAAAAATAATAATATTCTAAAGAAATTTAGTTGATTTTGGACTAAAAATTACACAGTAAAATAAGTGGTCATTGTTATTGTATGAAAAAATAAACAGTTCAAAACTAATTTTATTTGGCTAAAATAATAGAGTTAGGCCATTTTTTTCCTCTTCAAATTGGCCCTTGATCTAATCTAAAGAACAAAACGAACATAGCATATCCAATCCAACAGTATATATAGTCCTACATATCTAAAACATAGGCCATTTTGGAACATGAAAACATGTATTATCCTCTATAGACTATATATGTGTTTTATTTTATTTGTAAGGTGTAGATTTATACATAGAGTATACTCAAGATAGTTTGTAAAACGACAAAAAATGTTAGCTTCTTTCCAGCAAAGCCGTTTTTTGTGAGTCACTAATATATACAACTAATAACTTCATCATAATATATGTAAATTAAGGTGATGGAAGGTGGCACGAAGCTTCCTATTTCCTTGTTACATTATTGTCTCTTTATAAAAAACTAGAATACTACTTTTACATGTAATGTCCATTTCCTCATGCATAATATCACCAAATTAAAAAGATCATTTTACTATGTTACCAAATACCAAAGAATCAATGTCATTCTCAAGCAGAAAGAGTAGTGTGAATGTGAGGGTTCCGCCAGTTAGAGGAAGAATCAAGAGACGAATATTTGCTACTGTTTTTCATGAATTCAAGCGATGTTCGAGTAAACACATATATAGGTGGTTGCATTAAGAGAACGAGGCAAGATTTTTATCCTGAAAATTCATCTTCTACTATATATACAACGTAATTTTTATGTAAATTAAAGATGGCTTGACCCCCGGCCCTCTAGCTCCAACCCTAGCTAGTTGTATACAGGGAATTGAAATTTATCAACTTTGAGTTTGTTTTGTTTTCTTTCTTTTTCAACTAGTATTTGGAGCCTCTAAAATTATACCGTGGGAGTTATCTTAAAATGCATTTTTAGTTTTACCTTAATTTGGCTAAGGTGAACATATATGATTAAAGGCAGTTAATGCTGTATACTGTAACATCTTAAATGCTGAAATTATATGTTTTGGCTATAAATATAATAAAAATTTGTCGTGATTTATTTTTTAAACAAGTGTTTGAATCGACCCTTTTTTATTTGTAAAAATTGACTTACTTGTCATTAAAGTTGTATTTTCCACCTAAATTTAGATCATGGCCCATTACTTATAAAAACATAAAAAGTCTTTGAAACGACCAACGAATTTTGGATAGTTTTAACTTATAACGCTTACCTAAATTGGCTAAACACAAACACCAAATGCAAGCAGGAGTAATAATTAGTAGATCTAAGAAAAAAACACAAAAACATTTTGTCCATGTGTTAGAAAAATTATACGACTTACATGACCACGGTTGGTTTCTACGAGAGAACCAGATAAGCTTGAAGCAAAATTGACTCCATCAATAAATCCTTCCTTGTCAATTTGGAAATAAGATGGAATGAGTGGCAAATTAGCGTATTCCGCTACAAACAATAACACAACAGACCATAAGTTACATCTCCACAACTTCAATAATCAACTATATATATATATATGAGAAAAATGATAAATATACTTCCGAATTATCGTAAATCGTATCCAAATACCCTCTGTCATACTTTTGGGACATTGCTGCCCTGCCGTCCAAAAACTAGAGTATATATATACTCTTTATACTAATAGACATACACGTGCCATAATTTTATCCACCGACCCGACATTTTAATTGGATCGACGGATAAGATTGTGCCACGTGTCCCTATTTAGTCTTCCGTTAAAGTGAAGGGCATATATGCTCTAGTTTTTGAACGGCAGGGGCATCAATGTCTCAAAAAGTATGACGGAGGGTATCTGTCTACGATTTACGATAGTCTGGGGTATATTTGTCCCTTTTCCATATGGAAACAAGACAAATATATCCCGAACTATCGTAAATCGTATGCAGATACCCTCCATCATACTTTTGGGACATTGATGCCCCATTTTCGGCTAGCTAAATCAACATGTACGATTGTGCCGACAAAATCAAGTTATGTCGTATTTTTACAAATTAGATTAGATTAATACAATTTCATATTAATTGAATTTGAATTTTATAAGAATTTATACACTTGCCCTTATTTGACCGGCTCCAATAAGTCATCTCCGGGCCACTTTTTAATATTACTACATCATTTATCACCTTTCTAGGCAAATGTCTCTTTTTAAGGACATAATATAATTCATATTTTTAAAAGTAGGGTAATTATAGCTCTAAGAAAATTATCCAATCGGTGAATGTTATATTTAGGTCTAATGTTTGTTTATATATATCAATCTTACTTATAAAATATTAGACTGTTGTCTAGCATTTATAATAACATGTAAAATTTTAGAGCATAAACTAACATTTTTTCATAAAATTTTCAGTTTGTTGAAATGAATCTTTAAACCATAATTTGCAAAAGAAATATATTCTAAAAGATAGTCATTTAATAAATAGATGTCGAAAGAAAGAGACAAGTTGTGAAAATTTCTGATATTTAATTATTGTGTGGGTTTTTAAAGTGACATGGTTACTGTAAAAGAAAAAAGATTGACTCGGAAAGAAATGACTTCTAATTATGTACAAAGAGTGTTAATAACTTCTAATAATATATACTAGTAGTATTGTTTAGTTGGTGAAATTGATGAACTTACTTACCTATAAAATCAGATATGAGACGCCCATTAGAAGGTCTACCAGTTGGATATTTGAAGAATGATTCACCATAAGGCCACCAATTTGATTGATAGTCACTAGTAGTGTTGATATAATTATTATTCCCAGGATCCAGTATCGAATCACCGAACACAAAGAGGGATGCCGTATCAGCTAGTTTTCTATTGCACTCAACACACCCTAATAATATTAGTGCAACCAAAATGCAAATGAAGCCATGAAACAAGTTCGAGTTGATAGCCATTTGAGGAGTACCTATTGACTTTCTATAGCTACATATATATACACTACATGTCAACAATCTGCTACCCTCATGTTTCATGAGTTTTATATTTCCCATCATGGATGGCTGCTTAACAAAATATATAAGAATGACTTATCAATCTTTTTAGTCTGATAATACTTTAATTTTAGCTTTTCATTGATATGTTTTAAATGCCACAAGATTGAAAGACATTTTCATATATTTGATATAACTTTAATTTTGAATCAACCACAAAATTGAAAAGTGTTCTTTATTTTCTTAAACTCCATATCAACTGTCAATTTAAACTAGGTCATTCTTTTTTAAAATGGAGGGAGTAGTTACTTTTTATGGCCCTTCTTTCAAGGTCAAACACAACTAGTTCTCAATTTTAAATCAAATCTCATACCAGATGACTTAGATATCCTGAGGCATAGGCAATTATATTTAAGTGAATAAATAAAGAAAATCTATGTATATCATATTATTACATGGTTAGCTTCATTCAATGGACTACTGCCTCTTGCTTTAAATTAATCTAATTAATTAACACTTCATTGCCTCCCATTGGAGCTAGTCTTTAGAAATATTTAATAGTACATACACCACGTCAAGATAACAATACACTTATAGTTATGAAATACAAATAAAGCAACTGAGTTGGAATCACGAATACAAATAATTAATACATGTAGACATGATGTACAAACTGTTATATATGCTACAATTGCTATGAAACATAATTAAGTTGTTTGTCTAACTCGCCTAGTGTGATGCATCAATCACATGTCCTACATATATTCGTAGTCTTGTGTCACTATACCAAAAATATTTTTAACGATAGTTAATTAACTGTAACAACTTAATTATTGCTAAATATGTATTTTTAGAAGCTATTAACACTCTTTGTAAATGTTCTTAAAGTGTATAGTGACATTGTATTCAATGACAATTAATTAATATTGGTAAAGATTTTAACACTCTTTATTAATGCACATATTTATTTATACTAAAATATATATTTTTATTGCATAGTGTGGTACATCAACCTTACGTGTTATTGGATACTATCACATATTTATTGATACTAAAATATATATTTTTATTGCATAGTGTGGTGCATCAACCTTACGTGTTATTGGATACTATCTATATTCACTATCAGATCGTATGACATCACCATGCCTAGATTGTGTGTGCTCACTAGCTATGTGCAATTAAACAAATATCACAAGAAAACATATTTAACTGCTAGAACTAATTGAGTAATTAGCATTCTAAACGATACTAAACTAAATGGTATCACAACAGAGCAAGGAATCGGTCAGAAGTATCAAAGATTATTCAAAAGTTGTCAACCTAGTTCATGTTTGCTCACTCACATAAAATAAATTATTTAAATGCATACAACTAACACATATATAATGATTTGGGGAAAACAACATATATACTCATACTTTTAAGAAAAGGAAAAATCCTTTTGGCCAGAAAATTTGGTTAGAATGATATTTTATCTTTTTGAACATTTTTACCCTTTTAACTTTAATACTTTTTAATTAACAAATGGAAAAAAGATTAGTTTATTTTAAAATAGAAAAGATGTTACAAACTTTTTAATTTTCTGGCCAAATTCAGGTCAAATTTTCTGGTCATTTAACATTATCCGAAAAGGAAAAACAAGCAAATTAAGAGTTAAAAGTTTCACTTGCATCGAGAACGATAAAATTTTACTCTCTTGAAATGCTCAAATTGCTCCAAACGATCTTCAATGATCTTAATTTAATTGAAATCATGAATAACAAATACTCCCCCCTCTGTCCTTAATTACTTGTCCACTTTTCTTTTTATAGTTATTCCTAATTACTTGTCTATTTTGACAGATCAAGAAATGACAATTTTTTTACATATTATACCCTCAATTAAATGATTAATTACTTTGAAAAATGTAGAACTTTTCATTCACTTCATAATTAATAGGGATAAAATGGTAAACTCATCGTGTCATTAATTGTTTTCTTAATAGGCGTGTCAATTCAAAAGTTAACAAGTAATTTGGGACGGAGGGAATACAAATTAGTCAAGGAACCTGATCCTGAAATTGTAGGACATTCTAGGTCAAAGTCTTTTCTTGGGAAACTCAAACCCGTCCCTTGGTCTACGATTCGAAAACCAAAACTAAATACATGGACACCTTATTCATCAGCTATGAAATTCAATTTTATAATTAAAATCTAATTTTAATAACGTTTGCTCAGTCAAATATAATATTGCAATGTCTAGGTCTAAAATCCTCAACTTTAACCTCTTAGATTTCATGTTTTTGCTGATCCAATTCAATGAAACTTACACACAAAGGTCTAAAATATCCAATTTTAACCTCTTAAATTTCATCATTTTTACGTATCAAATTCAATGAAATTTACACATAATCAATTAATTGATGTATTGAATCCATACCTAACTTTGGGATTTGAAACTACATCTTTTCAGGATCCAAATAGAGAGCCATTTGCCAAAAAGAATAAAAAACTTTTTAAGTTCTTCCTAAATATGTTGATGAAAATACACTATAGTTTTTGTCAAGTTATGAATCCCCCCTTCAGGCCTATAACAATTTAATCAGTGGTTTTGTATATTTATGTGCCAATACATGATTTGAATCTTCACATAGTTACATATTATTTATTTTTTATTCGATACTCCCTCCGTCTCATTTTATATGTCACATTTTTACTTTGCACCTGCATTAAGAAATGATGTAACATTATCCTTCTACCCGTATTTAATTTTTTTGGAACTCAAGTTTTCAATCAATGAAAATGAATTAATTTATTTTGATTAATTAATTTAACCAATGAACATGAATCATTTACTTAATTTTTCTAAGTTGGTCAAATGTATATTTTCAAGGCTAATAACTCACAAGGGTAAAAAAGGAACAATATGATAATTTATGCATTGATTTTATGAAATGACAAATATTATGGACCGACTATTTATAGAAAGAGATGACATATAAAATGGGACAAATGGAGTATTCATTTAAGATTTAATTAATTCACATTTATCTTCAAAAATTCTACTTTTAAAGATAAAATACATCCTACAAGAGATAGCTCTATTCTCAAAACTCCAAAACAAACATTTAATTAAAAATGAAGGATATATATTAATCACCCCAATACAAAGTGGGTAATCATGAATTAAACTATATGCATGCTGTCTTCTTTTAAAGGTCAACCGTAATACTATTCTTTCCTCCATTCCATCTTTCAAGGGTCAACAATAATACTGTCCTTATTTTCTTTTAATCAATTACAAATATAAATAAATTAAACTCCAAAAAATAGCATTAACATTTACTTTTTAACTTTATTTTTAAACCAAAATTTAGTATTTCTTGGTTCTTGAATGATTCTTATCTAATTAACTTAAATTGTTGACTTTGCTAAATTAATGAAGTATTGATTGCTACCTTAATGAGCAATTAAATTTTTCTAAATAGCTGAAAAAGCAAAGTGTGCTTTAAATATAATGTAAGTTTGTAGAGACTTATTTTTACCTGTTAAATAATTCTTACAATCGAAAATTTTATTCAAATAACTTGATAAGGATGTACAATGACTATTAATAATATTAGCAACTTAATTAAATCATTGCAACCACATCAGGATCTTCTATTTGAATCTTTGACGCCCTCCCCCACTTCTACAGTTCTACTTATGAATTTTTACTTAGATCTATTTGTTTAGCCAAAAAAAAATATATAATTGAATTTATTAGAAAATTAAGTCGATCGAGAACGTAACAATTTATCTCAATTAGAGAAAAGCTAAAACAAAATTGACCGAAAATGAAAAATATTGATTAAATATAGCCTATATTGGAACTATTTCTGACTAGATTCTTGACAGAAGTTGATGACTACAAAAAGTTGATGAACAAATTAAATAATAATAATACTAGAGAGAAATGCAAGTATTTAGCAAGGGAAATTTGATGATGTACAGTGTGATGACTTAGCTGATGAATTCTTGGGAGCTGATTATCAAAATATATAGCGTAGGAAGTAGATACACAACAATAGGGAAGAGTTCGTGGGCGGGGCGGACTTGGTAGAGGAGGATAAATTAAAGCTCTACCAGGTGGAAAGCCTTTCGCCAGGAAATACATGGAGTAGGGACAAAAAACTAGTTAGAATATGAAAATTATAACAGGTGAGGAGGTAGAATACTAGGGAACAATTGTGGTATGCTATGTACTAGGCTCAAATCCACCACAAGCAGTCATGGAGGGGTATTTTAGACGGATTCGAAAGAAATTAGGTGTTGCTAAAGTAAACAGAGGAGTATTTATGATGTGGTTTGCCAGTAGTGTTGAGAATTGGGGGAAGAAGGGGTCCACCAAATGTTTGATAAAAAGGCAGTAATAGTGAAATCATGACATTGATGTAACAAAACAAAGTGTGGACAAATTGGGTTTGATGGTGGGATTAGATATCAAGTACCGGAGGAAAAATGCACTAACAAAATAACAGGGAACCTTATCAAAGCAAATAGAGCAACTACACAAAAGGAGAGGGAGGCTCATGACGTTTGCAAGAGTACTTATAGAGGTGCCTCTTAACAAGGAATATCCCAAATAGATAATGTTCGAGAATGAAGTAGGGAAGATATATAATCCATTAACAGGTGGAGTATGAATGGAAATCGGTACTATGCGACAAATGTAAAAATTTTGGGCATGCAATAAGATAGTGCAGAAAAAGAAGAATAAAAAGGAAAGGTAGATGGGAATGAGGGAGATAAGGGGAAGGAAGTTAAAATGAAGGATCAATATAAGAATGTACAGAAGAAAATAGAGTAAGAGGGGAACCTAGTAGAGCAGGAACTCGGTGGGGGGAAACTACAAATTTCTAAGGCATTGGAAACTGAAGAACAAGGGAATAAGATCACAAACCTAGGCAATGTTAAGACTAGCAATAGGCACGATATGGGGAT